CCCTCGCCCTCCCCTCCCCCAGTTCCTCCTCTTCTTCCTGTTCACCCCACCCCTGCTGGGTCTCAAAGGGGGGGCAGGAGGACCATGACCCAATCCTGGGAGCCGGCACTCTGGCTACCGCTGGCCAGCGGGGCAGCCTGGCCAGGACTCGGCGGGAGGGTCTGCGGTCTGGGCAGCAGCCCCGGCCCGTCGCCCTCTGCACCACAGAGGGTGTCCAACGATCCCGGCCGCGTCCAGTCCCCGGCTGCCGCCCCGCCTCCCCCCGTAGTCACCCCACATTTACTGAGCACCAGAGGTCCACCCTCAGCCAGCACTGGCTGTCCCGCCACCTCGTGGGGCTCACGTCTCACTGGGAAGAACCAGATGACCCCCTGCGCTGGGCACGTCGTATGGAGGGAAGTGGGGGGCAGCCGCCCCTTCGGCTGACGGCCTGCCACTCCTCGACTCTCCGGGGGTGCTGGCTGAGAGCATGCGCCTCTGGACCCCCTTCCTGGACCACACTCTGGTTTCCCGGGACCGCGGGGTTCCCTGCCCAATGGCCAGGCCCCATCCAGGGTGGTGGACACCTGGCCTGCCTCAGACAAGGCCCACGCCGGTGTCCGGCTGAGGCCGGGTGGAGAGGGGCTGTTTCAGGGGTGTTCATATGCCAGGTGGGGGTGGAAAAGGCAGTGGAGAAGGGGGCGGCTCTATTTTGGGGAGCACATTGTGCTGTCGTCCCAGCCTTCAGTTCCGGGGGCCGTTCGGCTGTTACCGCCGTCGTCAAGGGCTGGTCGGGGCGGCGTGGCGGGGATGAGGGGGGGGTGTGAACCCCTGCAGCGGTGCGCCCAGGCCGAGGACACGCCGCGGGGGGCCCTGGCCGGGCCTGGCGGACCCCGGCGCTAGCCTGCCGCCGGGACCCGCCAGCTTTGTGCCGTGGGAAACAGGCGGCAGCCCCCAAGTGCCGCTCTGCGCCAGGCCTGGCGGCGAGGCCCCGCGTTCCCCTCGCTCCCTCTGCGGGCCCTGCAGGCGGGGGCTCCCCAAACCTACTGTCTGGCCGCTCTATGAGTCCCACCTTCCTGTCTCTCCCACCAGCACCCCAGCCCTCTGGGCTCCCCAGGCTCCTGCGCTCAGGGACACGGGGGGCCTGGGGGCTCGAGGTGGCTCTGGTGCAGCTGGGTCCGGGGGGCCAGAGGCGGGGGTGGGGGGGACGGTGCTCACGCAGGTCAGAGGAAGAGACCCAGGAGCAGACCCGGGCGCCACTTCGGGGACCCCCGTGGGGGCTCTGACCCAGCCGCCGCCGGCCACTCAGCTGGGGGCACGCAGAGCCCCACAGCTGGCGAGGGGTCCCGGGTGGAGGGGGGCTTCCAGGAGGGCGGTGGGAAGGAGCGGAAGGTCCTGTCCCCCACCACGCCCCACCCGTCACCCCTGTGGCTCCCCACCTGCCACCCTTCCCGCGCCCTAGTCCCGTTCCCGCCTGTCACGCCCAGCCCTGCTCCCCGCACCCTCACCCCTCAGGCCTCCCAGCTCCTGCACGCCACCCCCATCCTTCCCACCCCTCACTCCACACCCCTACTTCTTGTTTTTGTAACCACCTCACCGCCTGCCGGGGTCACTGGGGACAAGGCTCCAGGCCTTGGCAGAACGGGGCACTTAAACGTCAAATTAAAGGAAATTAACTGCCCACCAACTGACTCAGGCCGCAGCCCACGGGGCATCTCCTCCCATTCTGCAGGGCGTGGGCTGAGGCCTGCTGGTGGCCAGGGCCGGCACGGGCGTGGGGACGTCCCTCGGGCTGCTTATCTGGCGCCCGCCCTCCGCCTCCTCGGACTCTGAGTCCACGCGCAGGCATTTCGTCCTGGGGCGTCCTGGGGCGCCCCTGGGGGGCGCGGGTGGGGTTGCGGGGCTGAGAGGGCGAGCCGGCGCCCTGGCCCCAGCAGGGAACAGCGGGTGGGGACCGCGTGGCCCGGGTAAGCCGGAGTTTCGGCGCAACACCTGCGGCCCTGTGCCGCTCAGCAGAAGTCGCAGAAACGGCCCTGTCGGGGGAAGCAAACTGGTGGGGCCTCTGCACCCCTGGCCGCCGTGGCCACCACCTGCGGTCTTGCGTGCTGGGGCCTGGGAGTGTGGGCGGGGTCTCGCGCACACCTGAGCCCCGAGGCTGGGCTACGGACAGCGAGAAGCCCGGAGGAAAGGCTGCGGGGGCGGGAGCCCTGCCAGCCCCAGCTCCCGCCCCCGCTCGCCAGCCCGGCTCGCCCGCAACAGTGGCACGGAAAGAGCGCTGACGCCTGAGGCGCCGCCGGGCTGCGGGGCCCTGCTCGCCCGTGTGCCCGGACCAGCGAGGAGCCGCCCCGCGCCTGCCGGCCCAGCACCTCTGGGCAGCTTCCTGCGCGGAGAGGCCCAGACCACCGGCCGGGAGGTGCCAAGTAAGCTCACGGGACCAGGCCCGGAAGGTGGGTCACCCGGACCAGGTGCCCTGCTCAGACCACAGATTCTGGAATTCGAGAGAAGACACCAAACACACGTAGATATGGCTCTAGCCGCTCCCGGGGTCAGGTCGGCACTGAAGCTCAACGGGCACCCAGAGCCCTAGAGACGGGCAGAACTGGAATGTGGAGGGTGTTGCTGTGAAGCCTGAACTTTCCTCTAACGACAGCCTGGGCAGCCGAGGTCCAAGCGCGGCCCTGTGCCAGTCGGCCGCTCGAGGCCCCCTGCGAGTGTGACAGCTCCGGCTGCACCCCAGACGAAGCGCTGCCGCTGCCTGCAGTTAGAAAGCAGCGCGTAGCCCCGCGGACCTGGCACAGCAGGCCAGGTTCTCTTTGGAGGAAGAGAGGTAGCTCCCGCCGGCTCCGAAAGCCTTGCTCCGAGTTATCAGACACGAGCTGGAGCTGCTCGCGGTCAGAGATTACGGCCAGCAGAGCAGGCAGGGTACCCGCAGGAAGGAGGGGCGGAGCAGCACCCTGATAAGGTCCCCGACTGCTCCAGGCGCCCCAGGAAGTACACTGTAAGTACCTCAAGGAAACAAAGTAGAAATAATGGGAGATGGAGGCTCCGAGGCACCGCAGGGAACTTGCCCAAGTGCCGCAACAGATCCTGGACGGAAGCGAGCGGAAGCGCTGCCCGTGACACAGCGCAGCAGCAGCATCGGCGCCCGAGAGCGCAGGTTCCACGCCAGCGAGCAGGAAAGGAGCCGGGAGAAAGCCCCAGAGCGGAACACGCAGATCCGGCAGCGGCGACCAGAGAAGCAAGTGAAAGGCCGCAGCGGCGGGGAGCGGCCCCGTGGGTGCTGGCGTGCGGGCGGACAGGGGCCGGGCGGGGCCCTCGCGGAGGGACAGCGACGACTGACGGGTCTCCAGAGCCGATGGAGGCCCGACCCGCAGGCGTCAGGGCGGCGGGATAAGCCCGCGGGCGTCAGCAAGGCGGGACCCGCCCCAGGCACCTCTCAGGGGCTGCAGACTGGCCCCGCACACGGCACCGCAGAGACTCTTGAAAGCGGGAGGGGAAAGACGTGGCCGCTCCGTGGCCGCTCCGTGGCCGCTCGGTGCAGCAGGCCCCGGAGGGAGCGGAAGTTTTCCGTGTGCGGTGTAACCGCCAGGGTGGACCGCGCACAGCGAAGACATCTTTGTTCTGGAATAAAGGCAAAGCAAGGCAGCTTAGGTAAGCAAACCAGAAGGACTGCCCCAGAGTCAGGGCACCGAGGGAGTCGGGTGGGCAGTCTCAGGCGGGCAGGACGCCACCTTGGCGCTGAGGGCAAGGCAGCGACCGACCCACGTGGGTGACTCAAGTGGACGCACTGGCACGATGACGATAGGACTTGGGGTTCAGAGAACGGCGAAGTGGAAATGTGGGGCACTGCCCGGGAGTCTCACTGGGTAAATGAAACCGAGGGGCAGACTGCCCAGGAACGGGACGGGATGTGCTGTCTGCCTCGGGGCCTGATGACAGTGAAGTCTGCGTGTTGTGGCATCTCGGGTAGGCTGACCGTCTCCAGGGCAGTCGATGGGAAATGGAATGACACAATCACTCAGGTGCTGGCTCCCAGGGGCAGGCAGAGAGCTGGCGGGACGAGCCGTCACGGGCAGCAGATTTACACGCACATACGCCGGCAACTCATTGCCTGTAAATGCGCTAAATCTCCTGCTAAAGGACAAGGACGGTGAGACGGGAGAGACCAGCCCCTCGTGGACTAGGGGCGCCCTGCCCAGGCCCCCAGGGAGTCCCGGCGGGACAGCGGCACAGTGACCCTGCTCGTCCCGTCTCCGTCAGGCAGCGCCTGTGGCACACGCGGGTCTGAGCCTGAAGGCGCTTTCCAAATGAGGAGGAAGCTCGTTGGCGCTACTCACGTTCTCTGGAAACACACTTCTCCGGGGTCCTGGGCCTCGCCCGCCTTCCTGGGGGCGCCCAGCCTCAGGGCCTGAGAAGGGCTGGCCGCGGGGTGGGGCGGAGGAGGCTTTTCTGAATGGAAATTCATCAATGTATTTCTGCCACGGCCTTATCAGTGTTGCTGTTTCAGTGAGTAACGGCAGAGCCTACAGCAGGCTCGTGCCAGACGCGGGGGTGCGGGGCAGCGGTCTGGCCGGGTCCGCGCTGTCGTCAGAATACATGAGCTCACGCCAAGGTTGCCGCAGGTCACCGAGATAGCGGCGGCTCTCTGGAGACGGCGTGACCCTCGGGTCGGCTCCCAGTCTTGGAACTGAGTGGCCCAGATAAGGGCCGGACAATGGCGGCCAGACTCCCACGGCCTCTTCAGGCCGGAGAGGGCAGGTCAGGGAGGGGCCGCCGGAGGGGCCGGGCCAGAGCCTGGGGGCCCTCTGGAGGTGCCACGGGGTACCCCAGCCCGGCTGGCCCACAGCGCCCGGTTGTGGGAGACACAGCGGCCGTCAGCTCCTGGAAAGACACGCAACTGGCTGAGCGCCTTTCTCTGGGCTTTTTCTTGTTTCACCAAATTTGCTGTGCCCGAGTGCGTGGGGAGGGGGGAGCTCCGGGTGCCGCTGCGGGGCCGGGGCCGGGCGGCGGCTGGCGGCGGTTTGGGGAGAAGCCCAGGCCTGACCGGAGTCCAGCGCCTCCGCCCAGCCCCTGACCGACCCTCACCCGGGAGGTCTGGCCGCTCCCAGACACTGGCGTCTGTGCGTAGCCAAGAGGGGTGCCGCGGGGTGCCGCGGGGTCCCGGGGCCCCAGTGCAGGGGCCCAGTGCGTGCGTGGCCTGCCACAGGGGTGGGGTGTGCGAAGTGGCCCTGGCCAGGAGGGGCTCCCCCCAGGCGGGTGCTCAGGGACAGAGTCCTGTGCTGCCTGTCAGTGGAGGAGCCCAGAGCCGCCCCAGGGATGTGGGGTGTGCGGGGCAGGAGCTGCTCCCCGGGGGGGGTCCAGCACCTGCCCTGCAGCGTGGGCAGCGGCGGGCTGGCGGGCTGGGCCCCCGGCC